TTTTTATGCTCCTCATTCTTAACTGTTTTGGAATATCGTGAAAAATTTGCTTTAGATATTTAGAAGATCTAATTAGGTGACATCAGATGATTTATGGCTTTAGTGTTTCATCAGGTAGCACCGCTATCGATCCCAGAAAAAACTTAACAGTACTGACGTCAGTGGCGATTGGAAAGATTATGAAAGATCGGTTATGTACAATCGATCTATTGCGTCCCATTACAACTTTATGCAGACGACATTTGGCATAAGCTTCAGGTTCCTGCCATCTTTCTCACTTATACTAATCAGTTTGCTTCTGATGTCTCATTGACTATTAACTGTTAATTACCCGGCTGAAAAATAATAGTTAATTTCACATTTTTTTTAGATTCTTCACCAGTGCTAAAATAGCAGTAGTGTACGAACGTTTTCCATTATCATATATAAAAAATATTATTTTTTTTCAATAATTAGTTTCAATCTGAAAAAAATTTTGCAGTGTTGCATTGACCAAAAAAGTGATACTGGAAAATTTGCTAAAGCATTGCAACTGCGATATGAGGAACCAGTCCCTACGGTATTCCGAAAACCGATTTTAAAAAATAATGTTCAGAATGCGAAAACAGTACCGAATTGTACGGCTTAATCAAAAAAGGGTTCAATGGCGACTTCAGTTTTATTGTTAATGCTCTAAACACTGTCCGAAAGTATTTCCTCTACACAGCCTAACAGTACTGATTTTTTTATTTTCCTGGTAGTCACTTCAGTTAGAATTTCTTTTAAAGGAATTTTTTCTCGTGCTCCTTATTGCATTTTCACATCCTATCTATTCCTAACTTTAGTTATAAATTGTCCAATAAGTAGTAAGAAAGCATAAGATTTAGTAATTTCAGGTGATATGCCAGTTAAAAAATTTGATTCAAGCGCCTCAAAATTTGAATAAACACTGATCTTCGAAATTTGCGCATTTGAAAACGTTTCAGTCTCGCTTTATACGTCCCTGCAGTACGCTAATGACGACATTTTATTAAATTGAGCAGCTGCCAACCATACCTTGATATGCTGATGCTACTGCGCCGAAACACCTCTGCGCATCTCAGTTTTAGGCGTTGAATATCCCAGAAGCAAATAGAAACTTCTCTTTTGGGCTGTAGACTATGCCTCAACCAGCTCAACCACTAAAATAATACGGGTCCGACACAGCTTGAAACAAAAGGAGTAGTTTCACCAAAACAAAAGGCGCCGTCTCGCTTTTTTCTATTTTTATTGTTCTTCATACTGTATTAGATGTCACAAGAGAAAAATTTTCTGGAACCCTGGTAAAGGTGGTAAAGAAAAACGTAACATGGCTGATATCTATGTTTCAAACGTAACAAAGTTGTACTTAAAAATGCGCGCTGTAAACGCCATATCCTTCCAAGCTCATCGTGATAAAGTAATTTCATCCATTTCTTTTCAATCTTTCCTTCTTTTTTTTCTGAACTAGAATTATTCACGATTTAGCAGAAGGTTTTTTTGGGGCTGTAATAAACAGATATTATTAAATAATAATATACAGATTTGATGCTAAACGACTGTACAAAAGCATTCTTTTTAATTTCTAGTGAAATGTAGAGCCAGAAGTCAAAAAAAGTGAGATAATTGCTTGTTCTTGTTAGAAGCTTTTATATTTTTGTTCTGTTTGGTCTTCAGATCAGCGTTTTGATCAGTCATAATGGGACCGGAAAGAGCACCACTTTTTCAATGTTGGCAAGGCCTAGAATTCTGACAGCAGGAATATTAAAATATCCGGTATGCAGCTTACTTTACAGATTCTTTCACAGTGCCAAAAAACATTGAGTTTTGTCCCGATCATAACCCACTGTTCGATTCATTGACGGTTCGGGAACACTATGAGCTCTTTAATATTCTACAGGGTTACCGTGACTTTAATGTGGGTCAGCTTATTCAAGACTTTGGTTTAACGGATAAAGCTGATGAAGTACTGTCTTTTAATTTTATTATACAATCATCAAAGTTCATACTATTTTTTACGTTGAAAGTACTTGCCTACTGCAAAAGAAAGGCTTTGAGGTTTATAAAAAAATACATTTTTGGTCATCTAGAGAGCGTTCGTTCATAGGTTGCTCCGAAATTAAGTGGGGGTATGAAACGCAAACTGTCTATCGCAATCGCTTTTGTTGGTAACCATCACGTGATGCTGTTAGATGAACCTACTTTAGGTTTGACGTCAGCGTTATACTTTTCATCATGGATCTATTGGAGCGATATAAGATTGGCAGGTTCAGGTTTTGTTCCCGCCATTGTTTTGGAACTTGCTTACACAATTGCTCGGTAGCAGTGATTTTTACAGAACAATTTTGCTTGCAACGCATTACATGGTCGAAGCGGATCGTTTGGGAGACCGAATATCCATTCTAGTCAATGGTAGAATAGATTGTTTTTGAAGTTCCGAATTTTGAAAAAGTCGCTCTGAAACGGATTACATTCTAAATGTTGCACTTAAAGTGATTTTTTGAAGTCTTTGAAAAAAGATGATTTTCCTTGTAATTGGCGACAGTACAGTACATTTCTTAAAGAAATTCTCGTAAACTTTTGTGAGCTTTGGTGCATTATTTAGGTATTACTAATGTTAATGCGCATTACTTCCAATGTTTTCTCAATTAGGTTTTATGTCGTTTTTCTGAAAATAGTTCACTAGGATTCTCAAGTTGCTTCGAGCTGCAAACCTTTGTTTCAGAAGAATTTCAGAGCAGATGCAGCAGGGTTAATAATGATCGTTGTTCATTCTCACATTCCAAGCGCAGCGTTGCAGTCAAAATCGTCCGAGCAGGTCGCAGTTGTAATTCCTTTTGAAGACAAAAAGGGTTTGTTGCTTTCAAGCTTTTATTCAGTTTTGAGAGCACCCTTAAATTTGAAATTTTTAAAAACTTTTGATGTTTGGTGGGGTTTCGACTTGGATTCAAAAGACTGGAATGGAAAGTAGGGGAGATAAATTTTTTGTAACGTTATATGCTCACATATTGTAAAAGCTGTAGGTTTCTGCTAGATATGTAGCGCTCATAATTCAACTCAATCGATTCAAGGAGTTTTTGTCTGATAAACTTGTCGTGTCTTCAACTTTTAAACCTTTATGACGGCTCTTAATCTTTTGCAACAGATGAACAGATACAAAGACAAGAAACAGTGTAAATGAATGCAGGAAAGGAAAGAAGACATTTTGGTTTTTTTAAAAAGAAAATTTGTTCTGTGTGAGCAGTCTGATTTATAACTAGTCATAATTTGGTGATGCCGTACTGACGGAGTTAAGAGTAGTGTGGAGAAAAGCAAGGCAAAACTGATAAAAATCCATTGTTACTGTAGTGACTGCATTTTACAGAGATTGAATCGTCATTTTCTGCTGTATCTGTTCAAAAAATTGAAGACAATTTCGTAATAACTTTGTACGGTGCCATTCTTAAAAATTTGTAACAATATTTTTTTTTATACAGAAATATTTGGAACATAGATAGTACTGCAAAGTTATGAGTTGTTAGCAACGCTAGCTGAAAAAAAAAAAAAA